TATACTTTTAAGTTTAAGTTAATATACATATTAAATAATATATTGCCTTTTAAAACAAATTAGTAAAAATAACTTCAAATATGTCCTTATAATTTCTTGAACACCTAACCAGCAGCAAAATGAGTTTGTTTTGWTAAAATAAAATATTTCTTAGTACCTATATTGAACGTTACTTTAACTTTTCAACACCAACAATAATTATTTAAATATTGTCACAACTTTGATTGGAATTGAAAAAAAGTGTGGAACTCATCAATCCCATAGATTTAACTATTATCAGCTAGCAGTAGTAATAAACATAATATGCATCGGAAACCTTGCCACATACTAAAGTTCAATCAACCCAATGTCGTCCAGTAGACTATAGCGTTGTGTCATTGGACAATGATGCAAAATGAAAGAAAAAAAAATGTAATCAATTCTATTATGAAAAAATTATTTTTACAATAAACACACGTCCCGAGGCATCTTCCACGTGTATAGCGGCCATTAGCGGGTATACAATACACACAATACGTATTGGACAATTATTATGAGATTGGATGTATCGTATTATATTATAACAATATATAACTGTTTTGGGACGAACATTATATTATGAATTTCGAGCAATTATAACTGTTGCATTTCCATTTCAACAACAACCCCCACGGCATCGCACGACGAAATACAACTGAGTCAGTCCCTATAATGGAGACGCGTCATGTGCAGACGCTGAAATGAAATTATATCGAATTGTTAACGCCGTCGTTATAATTTCTATGGTCTGTTTGTTTACATAAGTTTTTCTCGTTGCGTAACCCACATACCTACATAATATTACGTCTTGTATTAATTTATTATGCCTAATTATTTAGATAGGTAGCTAACGAATGGTCAGTATTTGCGTGGCATTATATCCGAAGAGGTGTGATTACCTACAAATGTATGATCTGTTCAACTGTGTGCGAAAATATATCCTGCGATAGTATCGCCAATACACTGAGCTATTAGCTCTAAATGATTTCAGACTAAAATAACGAWGGATAAACTGCTGAATCAGCACATTATCAATGTAGTGACTCAAAAGATTTCACAAAATGTTAAAATATTTAATGTTTATATCACAAAAAGTATTTCACAATTCACAATATTAGGTATTTAGGTATCTTATTATTTTTATTTTTATAGGTATAYAAAAACAGTAAGTAGGTACTTCAAAACTGCGTTGTCAATAATGTAATTTTTACCGTAAGAAAATCATAAGTACCTAACTAAAAACAAATGTATTTTTGAGTTGTTGCACTAATATTGTAGGAGTATACTAACAACGAGAAATGTCTAACGTACTTATATTATAATTTGTCCTATAAATTTATTTTTTCCAATAACCACATAATTCCAGTATACGATTAATTATTTGTAATAATATTTTCTTTCCGCGATCTCTTATATTATACTGGCTATTCGCTTTCTGCTACAATGTTTCTCGTTACTCATTCTTGTCATAAAATTCCCAATGCACAGGTTAATTTTCAAATTGCCACCACTTACTTTTTCCATCTTATCAGTTTAAGTTAAAACTTAAAAATAAACTTGTTGCTTCACTACACTACTTAATGGGGTTTTACCTGCATAACTTCTCGTCTGTTCCAACTGAGTTCTTGTCTATCTCTGCTTGGTTCTGTTTTATCTCGAAAGCAAACTTTTCTAAATCACCGTTCGGTGCTTTATATTATAGCTTTTATTTTATATCTTTTTAAAGTGTATATAGGTATCAATTATATATTTAAAATTATATTGTAATTAATATTATTTATTTAAAATAATATTATTTGTTGAGTTGTAATATGAACCGATAAAGTGATACAAAAATAAAACAAATATAAATATATATATAYWCKYRTATRYGSGTGTGTGTGTGTACTCATAATAATATATTATACTTWTATTTTGCAGTTGTGTTATTAAGAAGTGAACAATGAAATGAGACGTACGAAAAATTAGAGCAATTAATGTCATAATATTATACCAATATAATTTAGATATAGATATAATTCATGTAATTTTTTTTTATATATATTTCTCACTTTAAACCCAATGGCCCATGTTGCCGAGGGTATTATTAATAAATAATTATAATTATACCAATATAAATAGGTCCTTTATATTATACAGACACCTTGCACCGTGTTTAAATAATTTGCAAAAAACGAGTTTAGAAAGCAGTTAGAAGTGAACGCATATACTTAATGTAATACATCAATACTATCATTTTATGTATTCACAAATAAAAACAAAATTCAATCATATTGTAAACCAATTATTATTTTTTTTTTTGTGGTGATTATTATTGAAATAATTACAACGTTTTATTTGAATTTTGAGTTATTTTAATGATATTCATTAGTGAGTATATATTGAAATATAATGAAAAAATGGAATATACTAAATTACTAATAGACTAATAAAATTACATTATTATATCAAAAGAGTAAAAAATCCATGATATCAATATAAACATTTTTATTTATCATTAATTATCATGTATAATGTATAATGAAATAAGATTTTTTCATTCGGATTTTTAAGTAGGTTCGATTTAAATTTTTTAACATCTGAAGAACTTAACATTAAATGTCGAGTTAACGGTAGTTTTTTTTTTTTTTTTTTATTTTTTTTCTTTAACGGTAGTAGTAATATTTACTTTTCGACAGATCACAGATTAATTCTCCAATCCCTCCCCCTCCTCAAATGGTGGTCCAGTGTTATAGTAAGTAAGTATATACTAAGAACATGCTAAAAAAAAAATATATATATATATATATACTAATATACCGAGAACGTGTGCATTAAAGCAATAAATCGGTAAGCAAAATGTATATAACAATAATAATAAAATAGTACTTACAATTAATTTAAATTATAACTATATTATGGACTATGATCGTCACCTATCGTTTTTTACATTATATCTACACATTTTCGATTAAAATATTCACGTTTGTGATGCTCCTTGAGTTAAATCTCGGACGACCAGAAACAATTTTGGGAAATCTTAAAAACTATTGTAATATACCATTATATCGGTGTAATGCGTAAATATAATATAATGGGTTTTGCATATTTTGTTTTTTTCGCGCGCGATGTATGATATTATTACAATACATGAACCT